ACACGCTCTGCGGGTTTCCATCACGTTCTACTATCCAATAAAAGTCGTCTTTAAAACCTTCTTTTCAGCTGTGACTATGCTTTACCTCCAACGGTGTCCCATTAACGCCACACTCAGAAAGTGGTGCAATTGTAGTTTACACGCTAGCAGATCATTCTTTTCTTTTTTTTTTCATTTATCCACTATGAATGTATGAGGCTATAATGGTTAACGGTATTAAAGAGAGAGATTTCGTAGCAAACGTGTACTACTGCATACAGTGTCTCTAGAAAGTTTTCAGACCCCTTCACTTCCTGCTTTATTGCTTCTTTATTATATGTTTTAGAAACTGTGGCAAAGTTGATTGATTGGACTCATTTGTGTATTTAACGTTAATTCCTTCATGTCAGGACAAAAAACCAAACCATGAAGTCCCAGGAACTTTCTGCAGAGCTCTGCAGACAAACTCACAGTTGATAATTGTGTGAGCCTTGTTTCTTAATCTTTGTTTTTGTTTTTCTTGCTGTTAAATCTCAAAATCAAGTCAATCAAGTGCAAATCTATGACATCATCAGCCTACCTGAGCTGGCACACCTGTTATTTATCTGTTTCCCCTGCACCTCGGAATGAATAGGGTTCTGTATTGTGTACTTGTTTTTGTGCCTGACATGCCATGTACACGTGTTAAAGTACAGTGTGATTGCATGTAGCATTTGCACATACTACAATCACAATACATTACAGTCATCTACCGAGTACATTCATCCTATAGTGGACGTGCACTGTAACACTGTCCCATTACCCCCGTTGACACAGATCTGCCACAGTTCATCACGTATCCACCTGCTCTGTATCTACCTGCTCAGATTGCAGAGGGACATCGTCAGGTGACTGAATGGCCAATTAAGATTCCCATCAGCCGTGCGGGACAGAGGACAGCAGCTGTTTACAGAATTTCACTGATTGTTTATACTGTAGCAATGTGAGACACAGATGCTCCCGCGAGTGTCTATCGCCGCATCTGGCGTACGTGTGCCCGCACACAGAAGATGTGATGCTGATCTAGATCATAATGTGAAGAATGCCATCCAGTACCGGCACGCCAGCAAGGCTGTATGTGAAAGTAAAGATGTGTGTTTACAGCCGGGGGAAGGAATGTGTGTTGGTCTGAGGCCATTACTGGATGAAAAATTACAGGTTTCCCATAGGAAACACTGACCACACACACTGTTGAATATATATACGGTGTGCTGTTAAACACTTTGAATGATTACACTGCTGCTGCTTAATGAGGCTCACCTTTGAACTCGGTGAGGAAGCGTCCAGGAATGTCTGCTATTCAAAACATCTATCAAAGTGTTTATTCACTCCGAGCGGGTTCTTTGAAGTCGTGACACTTGGTCTGCAATGACTGGAAAGTTACCGATTCATGCAGCTAAACAACTTCACCTTCTGTCCCTGCCCGAGCCCGCTTCCTTCCTGCCGGTGCTGGACGCGTGGTTATGGCTAGACTTCATGTTTTTGGTATCAGCAGGCGTGTTTGGACCGGCGGTGCTGATAGGTCAGTCTGTCCCCAGTCTGTCCCTGAGCCGCTACGGTCCCCGCAAACAAAACCAGGAAGAGGAGGAATGTACCGACACCAGCTCTTACTGTAATTGCAGCCAGTTCGGACTGGAACTGTACAACAGCAAGAAAACAGTTTATGTTGCAAGAATCTTTAGTCATAAAACGCTTGAAACTTTTGCCTTAATTTTTTTTAAATCTTAAACGTTTACTTTGACATGTGCAGATGCAGTATGAGTATGAGATGCACCATTACAAAACATGAAATAAATAAAAAGTATAAGATAAAGTTGCAATAATTCATTTGTGCATGTGTGAATATTAAGGTTACATTAGATTAGGACATCTGAAATTCTTTATGCTTTGACTTTCTAATATTGCTTGTGTCGATCCGTCAACCACTTTAGTCCAGACTGAAATATCTCCACTGACATTTTGAGCTGCCTTCAATAATAATAAAATTATCCAGAGGATCAATCTGACTGACTCCAGTGATCCCGTCGATATCAGTAAAAACTAGTGACTTCCCATCAGCCTCAGCTGTACTTTGTCTTTAGTGCTAGTTAGCAAATGTTCGCATGCTAACACACTGTACTAAGGTTGTGTACTTGGGTAACACTATACCTGTTTAGCATCAGCATGTTAGCATTATCATCACGTTAGCATGCTGATGTTAGCATTTAGCTCAAAGTACAGCCGCACGCAGCTGCAACTGTGGCTGTAGATTCTAGTCCAGATGTCACTAACAGCTGGACCGCGGTCCGGATCCAGAGCCAGACACTGTCTTACCTGGACCCAGATCTATAACCTCTGAATTCTCATGAATGATTCAGTTTTTAAGGAGCGTACGTGGCAGTGCACATGTGATGCTACTCAGCCAAGACACACAGGGGAGAGACGGGACAAGAGACACCGTCATATAATATAAAACATATATATATATATATATATAAAGAGAGAGAGATTATTTAACCAACACCAGACTTTTGCTTGAGGGAATTTTGTCCAACTGGACCTCTTTAATTTTTACCTCTGTTGCTAATCAAATAAGATATTAATGATTAGGGAACATTTTGCAATTTTATAAACTGTAATATAAGATTTAATCCCCCTTTCCCCACACAAATAATTTTCATTGTTGATTGCACAACAATAAGTGTGTGTCTGCAGAAACAACAGGCAGGAGCCCAGGAAGACTTTCACAAACATTTACAACAGCATGATCACAATTTACCATCAACCAGCATCTTGCGGAGAAAAACAATCAGGGCAACAACATCGTATAAGGACTTAAACAAAGTAAAACAATGCAACTAGTGTTATGACAACGGCGTGATTAGGGTTGCAATCTCAATCCTCCATCCAGCCTGTATCAGTTCCCTGTGCAAACAGCAGACATGCTCCTGTTTTTCCTTTGTTTCTTTTCCTTTCCCGGTTCTCTCCTGTGCTCAAGGAATTCAGGAGGAATGCAGAAAAAGCATCCTGTTTTCATTCCACACTCTTAGTCAGCTATTCACACTCACACTGCGGTGCACGCTGGGGGGTCTGAGAGTTCACACTGACGTCAGGGTAAATAACTAGGAAGAACTAATGGAGACACAGGTGCATATTATCATTGCTTGGCCCAGTTTGTTTTTCATCCCACAATCCCTCAATTCTCTGTCCAACACAAACGGTTTTACTACACGTCATGAAAATACAAGCAACAAACCATCATATTAAGACGTGATTGACTGAATAGTGCTGGTATCTCACTTAATGTTATTATCTCATTCCTTAAACACTAGACCTGTAAGCGAGGACATCCTGTAGATAATAAAGAAGCCAATAGCCAACATCCTCTTTAATAAACATTTTCTGAGCTCACGTCCCCCTCACAGAGCAGCCTATCTAAAGTAAACATCGGCTTATGGAGCGGCAGAAGGGACAGACTACCCACCATGAAGAGATAAGCAGCGCACGTTACACTTGCAGACAAAGAAATCCTATGCACAGTAACCACGCGCTTCTTTTTTTATTTTGCGCCTCTGTAGGTTCACTGTGCGCCCGTTCTGTAGTTAAACGTTAAGCACAACTTCAAAGCAAGACACACCTGCTTCTTTTCTGCACAGTCAGGCTGAAAGTGACGGCTTAAAAGGCTTTTATGGGCAGCAACATGCTGCCGTTTAAATCCTTGCACATAGTAACACACAGGCTTGTACCTGGAACTCAGTGTGGTACATACTGAAGTTACACTCTGAAAAAACAGATTTTTCTTTCAGCAGCAGCATGGATTCAGCAATGACCAATAATAAAGGTCATTGCTGAAACTTCATCAGCTGTTTAACCGCTGACAAAGGAAGTGATGAGTCAACTAGATCAGACTGGCGTGGCAGATCTTTTGGATATTTGAGCCACTTGTCACTATGTGAATGATTTAAAGGAGGAATAGAAAACATGGCTGAATACTCCGGTCCCGTTTACACAGCGGGTAAGTTGTGTAGGTGAGCGGTGACGGTTCGCGTTCACACTGGCTCTTTAGAGATGAACACAGTAGTAGTAGTAGTATGAAGACAGTTAAACATGAAGTTACGAAAACGTCAGTTTACTGATTGGACAGTTTTGACAACTGTCATCCTGCATCCTCGGGACTTGTGTGGTGAAATCAAAATCAAAACTGTGGCGACTTATGGGAAGTCATGCTGCATTTTAGCTGAGAAGGCAAAGTGAATTTTCATCTTCGTTCAGCTGAAGGACCTTATTCAGCCCAAAGAGACAATGCACCAACTGTGTGTTAGCTGTAAGCTAGCTAGCAATGACGCTTTTGTGTCTTTGTGTGTTTGTGCTCAGCTGAGCTAAGCAGAAAACATCAGTTTTCATATATTATATATATATATTTACAATAGTTTGACATTTTTGGAAATACACTGATTCATTTTCTTGCTGAGAATTATGAGTCAATTGATACCACACTTTCAGATCTAGCTTAAAAAGGGAAGGTGAAGTTGTTGCATAATTACAAGCTAAATTTACAACTAACTAACTTTACAGTTTCTGTGGCGTCTGCCTTTGAATAGCTCTTTAATCTAATCTCATAAATGATATCATTCATTCATCATATCATTTAATCCTCTCCTTCAGGTCATGAAAGCAAACCACCCACCCCCCCACCCCCCCATCCCTCTCCCTGCTCCTTCTAAGTCTAATCCATTTCCTCAATGACTTACATTTTACCCAAAGACTAAACTGCTATTTTATTTCCTTGTTTACATCCGGCAAGCATCAGGTTTTTACCAATCATGGCTCATGTTCATCAGCCACTAAGTTGATATATCATGTTGTGCATGAAAGCAGAAGTGAGTGTTTTAGTTCAAAGAATAACTGAAATAATTTCAGGTGTTTGCTGGAACGTGATTTGTGACTGAAGATCCAGTAAGTGACACAGCTATTAAATACCATAAGACTTTTATTTTCCCAAACACAATCCAGTGCATCATTCAAAAAAATATAAATACATCTCTGAATAAGTTAGAGAATAAATAAATTCAATCATTCAGCATTCAATAGTAAACTTGTAAGCTGGTAAACGATCCGTCATATACAGCATTGAGGATGTTTTATGTTTCCATGTGTCCATATATCAGTTCCCGGTGACTGCAGTCAAACCGGGGGCGGACGGGCAAATGGATAGATGGCACAGAAAAGGTGCGGGCCACAGATGTATAGGTTTTGAAGTGCATAACACAAGTCGAGAGTCAACATTTCCCAGTAGCTAATACAGAGAAGTTAAGTGGACATTTGTCAGGGGAGGAAAAACAATTGTTGCATGTTTTTGGCAAGCTGCACATCATTGAAACCTTCTGGCTTATCTTCAATCAAAACATTAAACAGGAGCTATGCAATAAACACTCTAGGCAACACAATAGACCCACTGTAGTTGTTATGCTAGAAGAAAGTATACTGTGTGTGTTTGTGTGTGTGTGTGTGTGTGTGTGTGTGTGTGTGTGTGTGTGTAGAGGAGCCGACAATAGACCTTGCATAAAGCTAACTGTTTGTTTGATAAATCCCAAAGTGATGACCTTCATTTCACCGTTAGCACACGCTGCTAACGGTGTTCAAGCTGCCGTTTTCAAGTAAGCTTCATTATTAAACAGCTATTAGCGAATTTGCCTTAAACATTAGGCGGGACGGCAGATTCCAGCTCTGATACAGAGGAGTATTAAACCAAACCAAAGGTCAGCAGTGACAGAGTAGTTTTTGAGTAAACATGGACAAACAATTCCCAACTAACTACAGAGTTTATATGACTCTGGAATATGTAATGATCCTATAATCCTCATATTGGGGGCGAGTTTCAGGTATGAAACTGTCCTTAAAGACGAGTCGAAACCAGAGCTTTGTCCATGGAAACCAAACAACTGGTCACTGATTGATCATTGTAACATTTCTTGATGTGGTCATCCACTAGTCTCGAAGTCGGTTCCCCGTTTCCTTTCTTAGAAACTTCCGTCCTTGGCATGTAGACTGTTATTAAGTTCAGAAAAGTTCAAGGAGAGTTCAAAAAATAACTCTTAACGTCTCCACCCTACATCGCTCCTGCCTCAGGGCTTCTATCTTGGGAACCTGCCAGTCTTCCAAAGCGCTGTTTTGTTGATCAGTTGCGTGATTCCCGTGCCAACCACCTTTCCATCTCTGCATTCCCAGAGTTGGTAAGAGGCCGCCGGAGGAGTCTCCTGACCATGGGTTGAACCCACGGTGATTGAACCACCTCTGTTTTAAGTCTTCTACCTCCTCGTTCGGCTCTTGAGCCTGTTGACTCGAACCGCTTTCTTGTTTGTTGAGAGAACCTCTTTTGCGATGGCCGCGTTGGACTTAACCACAGATCTGCAGGGGGAAACAAGATAATACAGGTCAGAAGTGTTTAACATGTGTTAGAACTGACCATCAAACCACAGCACAGTATGGATTTAAAGGTTGAGCCGTAAATTCGTCTTCATTTACCTGTAAGATGCAAGCAATTTGTCGCTGTTGATGTTTTCAGATTTTCCCAATGGGCCCACGACATCCGTCCCTGGGTTCTGAGAGCTGTGGACAGACACAACAAAAACATTAAAACAATGACATAATAAAGGGGCTTGAACCTCTACAAACTGAAGTCTTGCATTATCTCATTACTTGAAGCAAAATTAGTTCAGGGTCGTCCACGCAATTATCTTGGAATTCCAAGCCAATATGTTTTTAGATGCCTTATGGGCAGAAACGCAAGGGTGTGCCTTATAAAACACCACCTTGGATAAGATCTAGAGATGGTGACTAATCCATTCTGGCAGTCTCAAGACTGCAATAACTCTAAGGCGAAACAAAACATTCCCTTGAGCAAAAGCAGAAATCTACGATTTCCAAAAATAGCCGCACTGCTAATAACACTTTGTGATTTCTTTCAAGGCCTACGGAGAAAAAAATGCGGGGCCACCCTATCGTTCTGCCCTCATACTGTTATACCACTATCACAGACTGAATCATTTTTACTGCTCGGGGCCTGTCACACTCGACCGACACTGGAACGAGACAAAAAAAGCTACTTTGATACGATCTGGAATCCCGAGGAGGATGGTACGTGATGGGAAGGAGTTTCTTTTCTGTGAGTCTTGGCTGATGGAGGAATGAAGAAATTGGGGAGGGCAGGGCGCTCACCTTTTATGACAGAAGCTGGAACAAGTTATATCGGCTGGGTTGAGGCATCTGCAACGGTCGGTTGAACGGCGGCGGCGAGACAGGGGACTTCCCAGACCGTATGGAAGGAGTTTACTAGAAAAGAAAATGAAACTTTATTAGGAAAACACCGGTCAAAGAGTGTAGAAATGTTTGGGTTGTGGGGCTCGGTGTTGAGGTCTGAAGTGCTCAGCAGCCTCACCTCGGCGTGTTGACCCAGATAATATCCAAGTGGCAGAAGTAGATGCATTCTTTATCATCCCAGCTGTTACAGGAGCAGCGTTTGGTCCTGACATGTTGTGAATGTGGAGCATGAGCTGGCAGCTCTGCCCGGTCTGATAAGGGGTGTCCACAACCTGGAAAAAAAACAAAACACAAAAGCAACCCGAGATTAAAAAGCGCCTACTAATCCTTTGCAGTGTCACTTCGTAAGTTGGTTCACTTTGTGGTTATCAGGTGTAAATGCAAACAAATCCACTCCACAGGCTCACACCCATCAGTGCGGTTAAACAAATGTAGTAGTGATTATAGTGGAACCTATTCATCATATTATAAAGTCAAGGAATTTAATCCAAGTCAAACAGTCCTGCAAGCAGCTTGCCAGAGGTGGTTATATCAATAATTCTGTGGAAATAATGCGGTTACTCTTTAATAAAAGGTGAGTTCCTTATCTAACTGCATGGCTGAACCCACCTATTGTATTGTATCTGTGGTGACCGGCTAATGACCAAAGGCTGCAGCTATAAATCATGTAGTTTGCAGGACACAAGGATCTTAATTTTGTAAGATTGCTTATTTTAATACCCTAAAAACCTGTAATTAAGGTAGTAGGTGGTAGGTAGTAGGTAAATATCCACAAGGAACATATTATAAAGGTAAGTTAATCATTTTTAATTGGATTTCACTCAAAAAAAAAAGAAAAAATACACAATTGTAGTTACAAACAGTCTAAAATCCTAGAAATAAAGAAAGACATAAAAGAAAAGTTGCTCACCCTCTTGCAGATACATGCAGATGACGACTAAAGTCAGAGCCTTGCACATGAAGGAATCCATCATCATCCTCGCTGTCTGAAGTTCAGATGTGTGAAGAGGCAGCAGCAGTCAGTTAACACTCTCCAAGAGGTGCAGACGGGTGTTAAAAGGTCTCGTGCGTGTCGGGGGCTGGAGAGCAGCAGCAGCAGGTGCTTTGTGTTCATGTCCCTGCCAGGACTTCTACTTATACCCCCCCCTCCTGTGGGTGATACCGCCATGGCCCCTCCCACCTCTGTGTACTCATCTGTCTATGCAGAACAGACGCTGTTACACAACTACTCCACCTGCCCTCCTCGCATTCCAGCACTGACCTGAAGTCACGGTGCCGCCAGCGCCTCCAACTGGTCAAGAGGGACAGGGAGGAACATGTGAGGGGGGTGTAATGTAACTGAAGAGCCGGAGCATTGTGTTGCATGCTGGTTTGTCAGTGTCTTTAAAGTGGATTTTTATTTTTATGCCATTAAACAGTTTTCCCACTCCATATTCTTTTATTGACAGAATACAAAAGTATCTAAGCAGCATATGTGGGGCATTAAAACACAAGCTCAACACGCTGGCGTGTCAGACTTGAGGTCAAGTGTAGTGCACGTTCATGGTCGGAAAATTTGTGATTTTTTTGGACGTAAAGAGACAAGAAGAAGTAAACAAAACAAAAAAAAATCTAGACGGTTACCAAAAAAGGGAATTTAGTTGGCTTGCAACCGTTGGTGTATCACACTGGGCGTGTGTGTAGTCTGCCAGTCTGTGTGGACATGTCTGAGGGTGAGGTGAGAAAAGCAAAGGAATGCGAAGCAAATTATGGCAAGGTAAAAAAATAAAAAAAAAAAAAGACAAAACAAATGAGGTAATTGGAAAAAACTGCTTGGTGAAGTTTCACCTCACGCTAATGATTTCTCCGATTAAAAAAAGAAGAAGAAGAAGAAGATCTAATAATAACAAAGTCTGAATTTATTAGACAGTCTGCCTGGCAACAGAAGGTGGTAACACTTTACTTTAATCCCTCTATTTCGCATTTATAGGCAACATTTAATAAAGGTTAATAACAGACTGTGATGTGGTTTTACTTTCATGAACAATTATAACTTTTCCTTTGAACTAACTGATGTATAATGAAGCTGCAATCAAATGCAATCAAATATACTGAGATATGAAGAAACACACATGACCAAATCTTTACGGTGTGTGAATTTATCGGTTCACGTGCATGTACCTGTGATATTCACGTTTTTTCGCTGCAGACATTTCTGTTTTGTCACAACAGAAAAATCGCAGGTGTGATTCACGGCATTAAAAACACCTGCATTCCATTCAGGTGAGCTACGGTTCCAGTATCCAGGTATCCGACATGCTGTCTCACTGTGCCGCCTCACCGGGACAAACGATGGAACCCGGCCATCGCTAACTAAATGTTTTGATTCGCTTGAACTGCTCCTGCTATGACGAGTCAAAATATCAGGCAGGTTTAAAACTGTTAACAAATGTTCAGAACTCATGGAGACACGTTGAGGAGTTTAAGTGCAATATGACTTAAAACAACAAGATATCAACCGCTCAGAAGCGACCGCAGGTTTTGTGAGGCCACGGCATCTTTCCTTTTTCTTTCCTTTTTCCAGAGGCGTTGGACATGAGGTCGGAGGCGGCAGAAGAAGACGTCATAGAGACGGACAGAGTGTTTGCATGTGCCACCCATTTGATATGTGGATGATGAAGTCAAGGAGGGCTGTCAGCAACCCCCCCCCACCCCCACCCCCTTCAAAAAGGTGAGGTCACGGCAATCTCAGTGTGTAACATGCTTTGACCTTCCGCAAGAGATATACAGCTGCACACACACACACACACACACACACACACACACACTCTATCTCTTTCCAGTGACGAAAACAGACAACATGGATTTGACCACAGCCCACAGGGTCCTAACAGTTACAGTATGTCATGCAAACACCCTCCTCTATAATTATAGAATGCATTATATAATGCAAATACACAGGCAGCATAAGAACCCAATACAGAGTGTGCACCTGATAACAGGATACCACAGTGAAGAATGTATGGATTAGGATGCAGTCGGAATGAGACTTATGAAACCCGGACAAAGACGTGGTCAAAGTAAAGCGCAAATCTCACATCCACATGTTATTTAAATATTCACACAATTCAGCATGAGCTGACAAGCTCCTACTACACTGACGTTAAAGGCTTCTTATCAGGGGAGCCAGTCAGGAGACGAAAAGAGACCTGTTTACAAAAATTTTCTATTTGCATTTCATATGCCAAATGACACACAATGTATGGATTTCTTTCTCTTTCTCATTTCAACATTTTCAACTTAATACATTAATATATTTTTACTGTTATCATTCTCAGTGTTAGTATTAGTTATTGTTATAGGTACCTAACACTGAATTTTAGTAACCTTTATATTTAAACCTTTGATATTACTCATCTGCAACATCACTTTCTTACGTAATCTTTTTATGCAACTGTTGCAAAATGAATAAATAAAATAATAATACATGCACAATTCAAGTCATATTCCCAGTGATAGCAAGCCTGAAATTTGAATTTTTATTAATTTATTTATTTATTAAACATTACTAGAATTTCAATATTTTAAAATTGTGAAAGTAATTGTTTACAGGGTACTTTAAAAAATTAAAAAATAAAAATTAATTTCATGCAGGAAAATTCAGGTAACTAATGCATTGCCTGTGGGAGTCAAAGACAAAGTTTCAGTGAAATTTCAATGGGTCATTTTTCATGTATTCACAATGTATTAGTTCAGCATTCTCTTTACCATAAATGGTTTCAAGTCCAACTCAAGTGGAGGCCACACCAAGAAGCCACAGCTGAAAACAGGAAGGAATACAATGGTTTAGGTGCGGAAAATCTTACAAATGTCGAGGAATCTTACATCAGAGCTGCAGCGGCCAAATAGAAGATAAAAGGAGACATCAACAGAAACAGGAAAAAACACTGCTGAAACACGCATGTTTGTGTGTGTTTGTGTGTAGTCACAGTTTACAGGGGTTAAGGGGCAGGGGAAATGCCAAAACGATGTGACAATGAGGAAAGACTGGCATCCCACCAACAATTTGTTACAGTGAAGGAAAAAAAAAACTCATCTAGAGCAAATATTTGTTCATGGGGCAGACTGGAGGAATGGGGCTCAATCTAAGGTACCCCCCCCCCACCCCACACCCCCCACCCCCCGCCCCGCCCCCTGTCATATAATACCATATACCCCCCTGTCCCTTTCCCCTGCTGTTTTCTCCAGACAAGGCAGTTGCAGTGTTAAAAAATGTGCCCTTATCTATATCCCACTTCCGGCTGCTGCAGAGGGCGACAGAGGAATGTGAGATGACAAACAAATAGCGGAGCCATGATTGTAGAATCATCTGAAATTCCTCTCAAATGAGGTCGAACATATGTGACACAATAACACAGAAACTGGTCCCCGCACTCAGGGCAGACTGGAGAACATAAATAAGTGTATCTGCTCTGATGTTAGCTGCATAGCATGTCCAGCTAACTAGCGTACTATCTTCAGTAGCAACTGCATCCAGCATTACTTTCAGGGCTAAGAGTTAGCATATCATTAGCTAAGTACATCTTGTGGTGTAAAAAAGGCACAGTATTATATAGTATTATCTGAGAATTATGCAAGTAAGTTTTATAGTGAAAGATACCTTAAAGTATTTCCTACTGGTAGTTATGTAATTTTTTACAGGCGAGGACTGAAAAATACAAAAAAAAAAAACCATGTATGAGCTGATGTAGATTAGGTTGGGTTGTAGTCACATGCAAAACAACTTCAGAAAGCACATTTTCAGAAACTAGAATATGTTACCTTTCAAACGAGGTCTCATAAATGCATTTTGGCCTTGCAGTTCTTCTGTTATGAGCTTATTACATTTACATATGCAAATAGTGGCGAACTAGGTTTAAAAACAGGTTCGCTCTAAGAAGTTTAGATGTTAATTCATACTACATATTTTAGTTAGTTTACTAAAAATATATGTGTAATGTTTATACATATTTACACATTTATATTTCCAAAGTTAATTATTTATATATTTATGTTTATGTTTACACAATTATTATTTACAAGTTTAACTATTTACACCTTGCACCTTCAAAAACAGTTGTAATAAGCCGCTAAATGCATCTGTGTTGTTTTCCTCCTGTTTACCTCAAGCTAAGTCCTTCTAGCCTCTGATTGGTTAGTGTAGCGACAGGTGACTTGTTACAGTCAATTCAGTGAATTTCCGATGAGCTGTAGCTGCTTTTTCTTCTTAATAAATCCCTCAAAATACATAACGCAGCTAATTTCAGCTGTTTAGACGTTGTTTCTAGAAGGTAGCTAGGTTTTCTTCTTCTTTCCGTTCCGCGTCGACATTGTGTGAATGCAGCGTGAGGAGGACATGGTTTGGTGTCTTCCTGACTAACTGTCAGTCAGTTTCAACACACTTTCTACGTGAGACCAACATGAGTCATCAGACACAGACACATCAGACAGAAACCATCCTTTTTTCCTTCTGTTTCCTTTTGGGGACAAAATATTCATCGGAGACAGGAAGCTAGCCTTGGCAACGGTCAGTGGAGTCTGAGGTAAGAGAAGAGCATTGAACAGTGACTCACAGTTGTGCAAGAGAGAGAGAGCGAGAGACGAGTCCTGATGTGAGTTTCCCGAACGATGTGGGCCAAACGCCTGTGAGAGTAGATGGAGGTTTTGATAGCAGCATCACTGCCAGCATGTCAGACACTGTACACAGATGGAAACTACACAACCAGCGACACTGACACAGTTTGAGTGTGAGGTGGTGAGGGTGTGTGTGATGTGGGTGTCTGCCTCACCTGTCTGCAACCACCAGTCACCTGCAGGTACATACTGTACATGAGAACATACAGTAGATGATGGAAGCTCTAAGTCATGTGACGTGTTTCCTTATAGATACAATGAATAAGAAATATGTTATATTGTTCTATATTAATACAACAAAAATATTATAAGAAACTGAAATTAAAGCGTGTGACATGCTGCTACATGGATATAGACCTTAATTCTTCTTTTTCAGTCTTGACCCCGAGGACAAACATAAACTCAAGGGTTCACATACTAGCTTTTTCTGAGGCTTTTGACCATATCCAACAGGCTTCTTCAGCAAATGTGACTCACTCAGGTGTGAGGAGTTACAATCTCCCCCCGTATGTGACCACCAGTTATAACTAGTTATGACTGAAGGTCTGTACTTATTGTAGGTCACATGATGAGAGCTCACTGAGGAAGGCCATGTGGTACGGTCAAAAGTTCTGGAGGTGCAGAGGTTTAAGTTTTGGTGTAAGTTTTGCTATTTCTACACAGCTAACGTTAGCATTAACAGCTATTTAGGCTAGGAGAAACTTCCGCATCAAACTTCATTCTTTTACTCAAGAGCTGTCTCCAGAGGTGTAAAGCAACCCTCTTGTTTTGCTTTTATTTATATCACTACTTTTCATCTGCTGAGGTTAGCATGCTAACCAGCTAGCTCCGGCCGGGTCTGTCCATCTCCTCACTTTCCGATACCGAGTCACTGGTGCAGAGACATTATTTACATACATACATACATACATATCAAAGGACATATTATAACCTCTTGTACTGTTAATGCAACGGCTGAGGCTCTTTCCAAGACTGATGGATAAACAGCTGTTTAGTAAGAGCTAATGTTAATGCGCCCTTGAACTTCAGCTGACTCATTGCAATCATTGCAAATGGAACATGTTGGAGAAAATGAAAATGACTTATCATTTAGTTATATTATTTGGTGTTGTCCTATTTCAAAGACATTTTTGCAGAAAATATGATGAAACGTGGTGAAATCGCAGCCGAACCTGAGATTAAAAATAACAATAGTTATGATGAATGTTAAGGATCTTATATAGTTACAGCCTGTACACTTACAGTTTGTTGTCATGAATTATCAATGTGACAACAACAAGGCCAAATACAAGTACATCTGAAGTGTTTGCACATTCTGGTCATTTTCCTTGTTTTGCTGACATGAAATAAAAGTCAAGGATATTTGCTCATTGTTATCAGGTGCTGTGGTGACTCCTGGGTCACTCTGTTCTGTTGCGTTTCCATCAGTGACAGAAATCCCCTGCTCACTGTTCATTTCATTTTGCATCCAGAGGAAGAAATGTTTCCCATTATGAATTCCCATGCTTTTTTTTTTTTTTCTTCCAAAGAACTTCATCATAGCGCCTCTCCTTCGGAAACACATCATAATATCTGACTAATATTTGTTTTAATTATATTGTCAAAAAGAAAAGCAACAGCTGAATCACACTGCTGGATATAAAACACAATCTGTCCTTTCCCACACCTTTGTTGTCTGTGGTTTCTATTACTGTGCACTTTCAAAATAAAACTGTAATAACACCCTCCCTGCTTCTTACACTCCCTCTGATTATTCCAGCTGCATGTGAGTTATCTCTTGGATAATTTAGTGCAGGAGAAGGTTTCGGTATCACCAGAGTGTGATGTCATCATTTTCAGTCCTCTGGCAGCAAGAAACCGTTAAGTTGCTTTCTCCTGCCACCCAGTGGTGACACAGGTCATCTTCAGCGCTGGGGGAACAAAGACGAGCCGCCTTGGTGACAGCGCAGAGGACAACAGGAAGATCAGATGTCTGTTACCACGTGTACAAAAACAATAGAATATAACAACATCAAAGCAGTGCATGAAATGTGTGTGTAAGTAATAAGAGATTTCCTATAATCTGTTAATATTTCAACATCAGGTATGACCTTACCACAGCCACAGGGTGGTGCCACATTCATCAACACCGTGTCTGCAGGTTTCAGGAAACAAGATTAGCCTTTAATACAGTATTCACTCTAACTGGTATTGAATTTTAAAGAAAAGCAAAATGAAAACTGTCAAGACTTTATGAAAGAAAACACAGTATAATAAGAAAAAAGACTTGTCATAGCCCCGTTGTTGCAGTGGACATGCACTGAAAAGGGAGCTGTTATAATTTGCTGAATATGTATGTGTGATGTAACAGAGGTGTTGCACGTGTGAGCTCGTTAAAGGGTCAGCAGAGCAGCCGAAAAAAAACTTAATTACAGCAGCACGTCCCAGTCTGAAATCAGCATCATCACACTCCTGATAATCCACAGGACACGCAGTGAAAAGTTTTCATGAGGACTATTTCTGCTTCTGCTTCTTTAGCATTTTAACTATGAGCTTGTGCACATGAAAGATGCAGGGCTTCAAACATCCAGTAATATGCAACAACAACAACAACAACAACAACAACAACAGCAACAACAACAACAACAACAGCAAAGCCAGAACACCACAATGAAATTATCGATTCCATTTGGGAAATTCATTAATTTAAAAGTAATTATTTAGTTATGTAAAGGTTACAAACACTAAGAACAACACTAGAGTATAAAGAGCAGCAACAGAAATATGGGAAAATAATACTGGAAGTGTTGCATTTATTAGATGATTAAAATCTGAGGTCAGATATTTTTCAGTCTTATGTGGACTGGATTTTAAATACACAACATACACAATAAACATTTCCACCTGACGTTGTCTCTTTAAATATCAGTTTAATAAAATGAAGGGGACAGACACCCTAAAGTCAGTTTATTAAAAATACAAAAGGTTCACAGCCAGCCTGAAGTTACAGACGGTAAAGCTGCTGTATGGAAGTTATTATTCCACCCAAGTAGCACAACCCAAGTTTTAGTTTCTAAAACAGCTAATAAAGCTAATAATGTTACTTTCTTGTTATAAAATTAATCAGCAAACCAGGAGGATGTTTGATACGTACAGTTGTTTGATGGTATATCGCATCTTACATCTTACATCCATACTTTAATTAATTTTCAGCGCTTCTTATGCAAAGAAAGATCACACGCAGGACACGAACCCTGAACATCCATCAGCCGTTTTGAGTTCATCTCCGGTTGACGGCAAGATAAAGTGGTGAAAAATTTCAAAATAAAATGTACACTTAAACTGATATTAGCTTTTTTAATGACACAGCAACTCATCACTCAAGCTTCCTCCTGCTGCTTCTCTCAACTGGGAGAGCGCTGATCTAAATCTACTGACTATAGATAATTACCTCACACAATTACCTGAATTATCACTTTGAATCTCGCAGAATATTTGCAAATAAGACCAAAACTCCCTCCATGACTAGAAACCGTAACGGGTAAGTAATTGGTTTAATTTGGTTGACCTGACCCTTTCACTATAAATCATATATATTTGCATTCCTGATCATTTTCTCCATCCACAGACTTTCATTCACGTCCTGACATGTTGAAAACTTCCCAGTCATTGTAACCGACTCAAATAAAAAACCACACACACCGCACCACAGTTTTAATATAAATCTGTAAAAATGAGAAGTTTAATGGTAAACATGAAAATGACAGTGTGATTGTATCATTTATAAAAGCAACAACACAAAAATACATGTATCTGTTTATGAAAAAAACTGTACCGTAGCTACCATGTACGTGAAACAGGTTTTCCTCTGGATATCAAATCATTTGTCAGTGCACTCCGAACGTCTCGATCCCACGAACTTCTTTTCTTAATGATCTTAGAAAAGGAGGTGATCGTAAACCCTGCTTCTTCAAAACACAAAGACGACAACAACAACAAAACCCCATAACAAACAAAAACTGACAAAAAAAAAACCCCATAACAAACAAAAACTGACAAACAATAATAAGAATAATCACAGCCTTTAAGAATGACAATTCAAACCACAATCTTGACGTAAAATTGCACTTCAAAATACTGGTCGGGGTGAATAAATATTTGTAGTACCTTTCTATATCCATTTTGGTAATACAGTACAATAACACAGCAATAGTATATTAGAGCTGTCAAAGGGTTAATAGGGAAACTGATTAAAACTTTGTCTATTTTCATTCCAGCTGCTTTTGCATATAGTACAGAATTTGCATAATAGCACATAAATAAATTAACACCAATGACATCAAACAAGAAGGTAAAAAAAGATTTACAAAACATACTGCATATCTAACATAGTGTCTATATATATATTATTCATATAATTACATAATAGCGTCATTCAAAAGCGGTGCTCAAGTGCTCTTGCCTTTTTTGTCCTCGGACTGTGAACCGGAGTGCGGTGCAGGATTTTCACACGCAGATTCTGGTCCTCAGTCTTTTGCACTGTCCCTTCAGACTCTCCCTCCTATCAGAGTTATGTCTGGGAGGAGGGAGTCTCGTTTTGGCCTTGGGCGCTCTCGTGGTAAACACACCTCCCTGTAACATGTGCGTCTGTGCTCACCTCCGGGTGCCTCGTCTCTGTCCTGGGGCTGGGCGCTCGCTGGACGCTGAAACATCCCTGACTCTTTCTGTTTAACAGAGCGTCCGGGCGGCTGCTCCCGGACATTTCCCCTAACGCCTCGGGGTGCGCCGGGCTGCCTCGGCTGCTGGGCGACGTCTCTTTGAGAGTATCTTGTCGCTGCAGTTGAGGAAACCTCCCCTTCAAAGAGCCCCCCAGCCTCCAGGGTGTCCCTGTACCTGTGGGGTTAACTGTGGCTGCTGCGGGGCTGCTCACCAGGCTGTAAAGCGGGAGGGGGGACCTGGGCTGAATCATGTGAATCCCCCCGATGGGAATCAGGAGGCTCGGGGCCCTGCTCGGCTGCTGGGAGTGCAGAGGGAGGTGACTCAGGAGGTTGTGGGCTCCCCGAAGCCGCGTGGGATGTGGGGTGATGTGGGTCAGACCGACCTCGTCCACAGACTGCAACGAAACAAGATGAAATGAAAGTTGAATGGAAATTAGGTCACGAAACCGGCAGCTTACACAGGACGCAGTAGTGACACAATGCCAGTGAGGCGGATCTGAATTAAAGTGTTGCGCATCAATAACAGCGACTCAACGATTACTCCGCCTCGGTGCTAAAAGCCGAGCTCCTGAGAGCTGCGATGAGTTACTGACCAGCTGTGGAAGATATTTTTATCTCTGGAGGTTAAAAAGCCTCAATGTTACACAACAGAAGCAGATAATGGGTATTACATAAAGAACTTTTATCATGTTGGAGTGTCAAAATTGATGAGAGATCCTAAATTCCCTTAGACTGTGTAACCTTTGCTAAACAGTGGCCACTCTGGCCATTAGTAGTGACTACAGGAATTTCTGAATCTTCGAGTCAGTTGCTTTAACGAGCATCTTAACAGGGCTTGAAAATCTTTTAATTTTTGCCTTTTACAGTCTTTTCCCGTTGATGTGTGAAGCTGTAACGAGATCTGGTCACGTGAGAGACAAAACCAAGGCAGACGTGGCTCCAGCGAAGGCACCGGTCCAAAGGCAGATGTGTGGTTGTATTTCAGATTTCAAAACTAAGACGTGAAGAGCCGGACAAAAGTAAAGCTATGTGCAGGATGTGCAAGAAGAAGCCTGTTGGTACACACTGCAGCATTAATCCACTGAGAATCTCATTCACATCGAAGCAAAACTGGTATTGCACCTGACATATCTTTCCCTGAATCGATATTAAATCACATCAAATCGATTCGGGACCCTGTTGAATGGGAACTGAATCAATTCAGGAGAAATGAGTGGTGACAGGTGCAACACCCAGCCCTGTGGTCCGAGGTGAAACAACCGGCGAGAGTTGTTGTTACGTTATATTTTAAAGACATCATTATAACGCTACCTGCCTGAGAGCGGGAGGAATGTGACCACAGACAGGAAACAACAAACACGTCTCCCGGTGAGGTTCTGCGGTTGAAAACAAATGTCCGGATTTTCCCACACTTGCAGATTTATTGTAAGTAATGAGCACATTCCCGGGAAGTCTCTGACGGCAGAATACAAAATTCATCAAGTTTCACATGTGGCCTTAAGTGCACTTCCTGTGGACTTCCAGAGAATCCACTCAAGACACAAACTCCACTAGACTTTCCTCCACAACAACCAACTTGAGAAAAAACGGCACCAGCTGCAATATGAGCATCCTCCGTTGATGATTTAATGTATTAATGTCCAAACAAGTCTGACTGTGAATACCAGCTGTTACATTATTTTATGTATCTTGTGTCAGCACTGTTAATAACCACTCAAGGAACACACCTTTAAATCGCAGCCATGGAAACAGTTGAGGAAGTCCTATTTAATCGTGCCCAGTGCCTCTATAGACTTGGCATATACCGTACCTGCATCAAGCGACTTTAAGTGACGTACACTGAATGAATAAGTGCAATAGTTAGTTTACAGATTGTCTTTGTCTCAGTTTCACATAAAAATCAATAGAAAACTGAATTTATAAATTTAGTCACTTTGTTTCTTTAGTGTTAAAACCATTCCAGCGTTTCTCTGCGACATGTTAAATCACAGTGTAACTGTATCTGGTGAGAGTTAGCTAACGTTAGCCGCCGTTAGCTACCGGTCACACCGGACCGCGTTAAGCTGTAGCAGCGAAATTCCAGAGGGAACAAAATTTAATCAACATGACGTGTTTTAGTGCTTATGAATGCAAGTTTAAATTTTGATTATTTCCTCTTTTAAAAGTTATATAGTGTCACTTTGAAAGTAACAATTACAACATGTCTTTAATTGTTTAAATGAATTAATTAGTGCCTGATAATCTTGATAAATCAGGTGACATCATTTTACATAATGAGTGAGACATTTTGCAGCTTAAATTACAGTATTATCATAATGTGTAAAATAATATTGAAACATAGTCAAATAATAAAATTAGTAAAAAAAAAAATATGTGCAGTAAGAAAATCTACGAGAGCGAGAAGACAAAAAGAAAGTCAAACTCCCGTGAACAGAAAGGTCTTGGTCAGATGTGAAAACCAGAGACTGTGAATTCGAATCTGCTCCTATGGGACCTATATTAGTGTGAAGAGGAAGTGGTGAGGTTACACCATAACATAACCACAAGTTTGGAGTAGACATGTTTTTTTTATTTTATTTTATTAGCCTGAACTGAGATATTCGCCCATGTTGTTTTCGTCGTCGACATGTGGTTCCAATCTTTGGTATTTAACGATCGGCCTCTCGTCTCGTTTTATCAGCGGCTGCCCAGCGAAAACATGTTGTGTCTATTTGGGAGCTCTCCTGCATTATTTTAAGGCCGGGAGCTGCAGGCTCGGTTTGAGTGATATAAAACAAGAAGAGTTGCCTTTCCTTCCTTTTCCAATAAATGTGCGACTTTTAAATAACCTCATATGTACCAGCCTATCTATATTTGCTCTAGATGTTGACTTACTGGGATTTAACTGAGCCACACAAGATTAGCTTTGTGAGCCAAAAGCTGATTTATTTAAAACTGTAGGCTAAACTAACAGAAATGGATCAAGTCACAGGTTAGTGAAGACGGCGGTTTGAACAAAAGCCACGTTTTGACCAGTGTTAATTATAAACAAACGACATAAACACGGCAAAATCCGGACTATAACACAAGCAAACAAACAAAAAAATGATTATCAATCAATCAGCATGCTGTAAACAGATGTTATGTCAGCGTGTTTTCTGAAGCACGAGCTGAAGGGACTCACCAGTCTCGCTGCAGACGCTCGGTCCCGCGGGTGAAGACAGGTTTGACACTGAGCAGAGCTGTCTGCCAGGGAGCCCGGAGGCCCAGAGGACTCCGATCCATGGGGCTGGACTATTACAGGAGAAAGACCTCTAACGGGGGAGACTGGTCTCAGCGGGGAGGTGGAGACATGACAACTGGACGGGGAGAGGGAGGGAGGAGGAGCAGGGGGCCGCTGAGGCCCGGGCGATGGGCTACACGGTGGAGACGGCTCCCTCCGCGGAGTCAGGGACTGAGCAGTGGGAGAATGGGAGCCTCTGGAGGATACGGAGGCTGAAGCATCGAGGCGCCTGCGGGCGAACAGGGCCCTCCTGGTCCTGGCCGAGGTCTTCTGGGTAGAATCCTTGGGGTCGAGTGCGAGTGGTCGGCTGGGCTCAGGCTCCATCGGCGAACTTCCCGAACAAGGTTTCTCACTGTCGGAGGAGAGGGAGCTTTCGGCCACCTTGGACCAGCTGTCTTCGCATCTACCGTCCTTGTCCTTTGCACCGTCGTCCCCATCGTGTCCACCTCCTCCCAGATCAGAGGACTGGCTTTGCTTGTCAGGGTGAACTGATTGGTCCTCACAGACTCCTAGGACAGAAAAAAATCCACTGTTCAACACATTTTCTCTTTTTCTTACTCCACCAACCAACTTCGTTCTTTACTTAAAGCTCCATATTTTCTTCTTCTCCTGTGTTTTATTTGAAGTGTTGATCTATAAGAAGATATATTTATGTTTTTAAGACCCAAAAACCATCTCAGTGTAGTGTTACATCTCCTCTCTCAGGCTTCTCTCTGGAGCTCTAGTAACAACAGGTTGGTGAGCCAATCAGAAGAGAGGAGGCTCTGAGCCTCTCCTCTGATTGGCTGACTGTTTTCTGAGTGATCCAATAAAAATATAGCAGATTTCAGGTAAAAACACTCAGAGAAACTAAATCCTGCAAGGTTTGGATGGTGGGTCCAGGTGGGCGGGGCTTGGGCTTGCTGTGACATCACAAAGTTACAGGAAGTCCTGACGGCTGGTTTTAAGGCTCAGTTCCTGAATACAGGCTGTGTGCATTTCTCTGTGGACTGAGGCTTTGATACTTTCACTGTATTAATATAGAACCTGGACCTGATCTATAATCACACTACACATGGACATCTGCCTTTATACTGTACGGGACCTTTAAAACAATTCAATATCAAGTGTAGTGGGCTATTTCCCTAATTTCTGCTTTTTTCTATCCTGTCGAGCCTAAAATTCTGGAAGAAACGCTTGAAATAAAAAATGTTTTAAATTAAAATCTTGCATTTCCTCACTGCACCAATGTGCACAAATGTCCAGGGAATAAAATCAAACTGCACAGACATTATTGAGCTGCACTGTGGCCAGTTCCTCCCAGTTGAGTACATTCTTTCCCTGGGTGTAACGTATGAGAGCCTCTCCCATGTTCTCACGTATATCTTCTATCTCATAACTTGTACGCCCAAGATCTTGATACGCCGCCGACCGATGTTTACACTTCTCTTCAAACTAATGTCAAACAGAGAAGTTCAAACAGAGCGTCACAAATCGTGTAAGTTGACAGAATCAGTCTTCAAACAAGAGAATTCATCAGAATGCTCAGGTTCAAAGCAGAGGGTTTAAATGTGACCCATAGGTCACCGATCATCTTCTAACCAATCAATTAAATAAAGCCAATAATTGAATGTACTCCCTCTGCTGTGTTGAAGGCAATGAGAAACATTTTCTGACCGTCCAACAAAACAAAAATATTTTTTATCACAAAGAGGAAGGTGATACATCAGACATGCTCCGTTAGCCTTGAGCGGCTATGCCAGTGTGTGTGTTTGACTGACAGCTACGCCTTCAAGGACACCGAGGCACAATGTTAACGTATATTCTTCCAGCTCTGTCCTTCACGCTGTTATACTGCGAACCTGCTCTAGTATTCGTTAAAACGTGGGCACGCGGTCGTCACAGTCAGCAAAAGTAATTCTACGGCGGCTCTGAGAGCTCAACGCACTGCAATTTAAGTAAAAACACGCACACAAATTCAGAAAAACATCTTCATCAATTTGAGAAAACATGCGATGGAAAATACTCACAACACAAAGCACAATACAGAAAATGCACTGCAAAGTAGCACAGACGACAACAGAAGCGTTTCCATGGAAACACCTCCGTTGTGTTGTTAGTATTTTGCAGCACGTGTGTTTATCAAATTGATCAAGATGTTTTCTGCATTTGTTTGTGTTTGGTCAATTTGCATGTGTTTTCTTAAGTCGCAGTGTGTTGACCTCTCAGGGCCACCGTACTAACACGCCACGAATCTACGCCTACTTCCGGTGTAGACAGGAAGTGAAACGACAAATCTACGGCGATGGAGGTCAGCTGGACTTAGACTGTTTTAAGCATTAATAAGAGATAAACAACATCGTGTACCTTCATCTGTGTCGTCTGGGTAACAACAGGTTTCTTTTCCGCGTGGCTCAGACCTCAGGTGGTCGGCGAGGCTCCCTGTAAATACAAAAGAGAAAATGAGAAAACTGACAGAACGGAAGCATCACGAACCTGTTTTAGTACGTTTCATTGTCGACCCTTACCTTTGGCTTTGAAAGCAACGTTACACTGACTGCAGTTACACGGAGACGACCCCGTGGAGCGGTCGGTGCACTTGAGGTGGAATCCACAATCCTCACGTTGGCACTTCCCTCCACCTCCGCCATGCAGGACGCCATACTTCTCATTTGATCTGTGGGTGTGAAGAGAGCGAGAGGGCTCAGTTTGGTCCTCAGAGCGTTTCCCTGTCAGTGGTCTATTGATGCTGCTCCTCTCTGGATGATAGTGGCAATCAATATGAGTGTAACTGGAGCTGACAGGCAGGCAGCAGGCACTTTAGCACCTGTAAGCAGCTTTTTAGTGCCTGTATTTATCCAGTGTAAGTACGCTATCTGTTTGGCCTTTACTACACAGTGAGCTCACACTGTGGCAGCCGGGTCTGGGGTCCAACCCTGCATGTACACTGAGGGTCTCTCAGCGAGGCTCCCACTTCAGCTTCAACAGAGCTGCTTTCATAAGCCAAAACCAGACCCCCCCCCCCTCCTCCTCCCACTGCCTTATAACCCCCATCACAGCTCCTCGCACCACCACTGAGTCCAAACAAGGGGGAGCCTACGATGTGGCCCAAGGTCCGGGGGGGTTTGCTGCAGCCAGCCAATAAAAACAGCTCCAAGAGGGAGGGAAACCCTGGCCCAGACCAGCTGCTGCCCCAAATAAGCATGAAAAAACACAGAAAATGAAAACACATTCCTACGACAAACAATCGTTCTGATTATAATCTGCTGTTTTTTCTTCTATTTTCACTACGGGCTTCACGGCTGGATAAACTCTGCAGGTATCATAAACGGTGGCTTTTTACGGTCGCAGAAAAACGTTCAGTTTAGAGAAACAGAAGTTTCAGTTTAGAGAGGGAGAAACACTTTTGCCTGGACACAAACACTCCTACACTGTAAAGCAGCTATATTCACAGGCTTTTTCTTGCAGGACCCATTGACTGAACGAACATACCCTCGTCTTCCCCCATGCCTGTGATAAAAAAATGTCAGTGTTCGACGGCCGCGTTTTGTCTTTTTGTGGTTCAGACAGAGCGAACAGACGGAGAAGGAGAAAGCGAGCAGGCGTGAGGATGACTCACTCTTTTAGGGAAGGCTGTGATGAGCGTCAACATGAGTCACAACAGGGATTTGTTCACAGACACACTCCCAAACCAAAAAAGAGACACACAGATGGCACCTCTCTGCACCCCCAACCTCCCCCTCTCCTGCATCGCTTTGCTGCAGTGTTTATTTCTGATGGTTATCAAAAGTCCTGAGTGTGTCTGCTTTAACCTCACACCAAATTAATTTGTGTGTGCGTGCTTCAGCTAAGACACATAAATAACAGAACTGTCCAAACAAATTCAAACCTTGCATGTTTTCACACAGTATTTTAGAGTTTCAGTAAAGTGTGAGTCACATTATTGTGAACTTTTTAATGGCTTTAGCGACTCATTTCCGACATTAAACTTTGCGTGTGGAGTGCTGAGAGACAGAAGGAAGTGCAGTGTTGACTGTCAAGTGTTTTGGACGAGCGGTTCTTGAGAAACATAAAAAGAGAAACATACAAAGACAATAGGCACGTGGCACGTTGCAAAGATGAGCTCAGTCAAAGCGTGCAAGCTGCAGCTACAGAACCTGCACCGGATCTATATGCTGATTCTCCAGTTCAGGTAAATGGTTCCTGTGACACACAGTGATTAAATTAATCTACACTCACATGGCTGAGAGGTGTTTACTAATATTTTGTCAACCTCAAATCACATAAAAAGGATGGACAAAATATTAGGAACACCTCTCAGTATGACCCAGTACAGTTCCACAGCTCCAAAAAGACCATCAAAATAAAGTGAGTGATCTAATCTGAGTCACAGATTACAATTAAATGTGAGCATTTTCTGTCCATCCTTGTCTTGGATTTTGAACTGTTGGTCTGACAAAACAAGACATTTGATGAAATTTTGAGGGAGAGTTTTCACCGCTTCCTGCTGTTTTATAGACTGGACGACATCATCGGTTAATCCAATCAGGAGATTGACCCCAGTGTTTTCCGCCCGACCCTATTCCACATGGCAGGCTGCCTTTTATGACTAATGCTACATGTACAGGTGCATATGTAGCTGTTCTACTCATTCCACCGGTGTCAGTGTGAGAGAATGAGACATGCTGTCGCTCCATCTGAATGGCTGTGACGGGGTTGTATAAATGAATCTCTGCAGGAGCGGAGGAAGCTGGGTAGTTTCCTGGCTTCAGCCCCTCGACAGACGGGCTCTGCTGGTGCAGACAGCCGACCCCTGGCCTCTCCCAACATGTCGGACAGACAAACAGTTTCCAAAACACGCCACACTAGGTGACGCAATCCCTTCAGCGCTGTAAGTAACGAGGTTCATCAATATAAATATTAGACGATACGTCACATGTAAACCGACTCACCCCGACTCAGAGATCCAAACTTCAGGAGGTTGTTCATTTCTGGAGCATGGCTGGACTTCCTCCTCCTCCTCCGCCTCCTTCTTCTCTTCCTCCTTCCCCTCTTCTCTGTTTGATCCGTTGTCCTCTGACGACGTCTGTCCCTTCCTCGCTCCCTCGTGGTCTCTGCAGTACGACTGGCTGTTGTAGACCTACACTCGAAAGAGACATGGGCAAATTCACCAATCCTGCTCCAGCATGCCCAAGAGGAGACAAAAATTGGGAATTCTCATTGAACATTGTGTTTTATACCATTTGTTGAAGCACATATTTTATTTTCCCTTTGCGTGTCATGATTGATTGTTTTTATAATCACCTTGTCAACAAATTTAGCTCTGTCAAAGTAAATATTTGTCTTTTTTGGAGATTGCAGAGACACAATCTTACCATGCCAATCCACCATTTCCACCAAGTCTTTATATTTAGTTCATCAGAGCAAAAAGCTAACAGGCTATGCTAACCTACCAAGACTGTATACAATGCCTGGGACACCTCCGACTCTATTCAAGTTGAATTTTGGGGCTACAGGTTCACTTAACAGTGTTGGTAGTCATGTCTTTACTGTTTCTCTACTGTTTTTAATAATACATTACAATATAGATCAAAAGAAAATCGTAATCAGTAGTTAGTGCTGTAATTACCTCAGTGGAGCATGGTCTTTTGTTGTCCTCTTGCTCCATTGACTCAGTTGTCCTGACTGACATGGGGGATAGAGTGTAGATGGAGGGACTGAGCCTCTGCTTACAGTGCAGCAGAGAGAGAGCCGTCTTGCTGGAGAGGCCAGGTGGGTTGGGGTCATAGCTGCTTGTGGACCACGATGAATAGACCGAGGGTTTCTGTTCATCCAGAGCTGAAGGGTTTGGTTTAATGTAGTTCAAATAGCACCAGCTGTTACAGGTGCTGGACAGCAGACTGGGGAATGAAGGTCCAACATGTGTGACGGGAGAACAAACACCCGGTAGACACGACTGATTCTCCCGTTTCAGTTCCTGATTGCATGGGTCCACTGACACCTTGTCAACACATCCCACCTCCCTCTCTTCTTCTTCTTTGACTCGTTTCTGCTGCTGTTGTGACTCAGGGGGGATCTCTATACTGTTTGAAGGGGAAAGCATGCGCTTGTTGCCCCCTGAGCCCGATAACCTCATGCCATCATCAGACCACAACTCAAAGTCTGGACTCCTGTGGTTTCTGTATTCGGATGTCAGAACACCTACGTTGTGTGAAACAGCATCGACTGCCTCCTGGGGCCTAGGGGAAGTTGCCTGAGACAACATGGTGTATATGGCACATGCTGGGGTGAGGGTGTCCGTTTGGAGACGCACCGCCACTGAAGGAGATGTGACCGGCCGCAGTAACTCCAGACTGGACGTGATGTGAGGGACGGACTGTTGGATGTGGGAGTGACTTACTCGAATGTCTGAATAATCATCATGTTGTAGGGGAATCTCCAGCTTCAACCCTGTGGACATGGGGAGGTAGCGAGCCCTGGCTGCCCCTGATGGTCCATGTGAAGGATAGGGCTGTGGTGCTTGAGGAGGGGGCTGTCCTGTATGGATGCGCGAGGCCTCGTCTTTTAGAGGATCTACGGATGGACCATGAGTACGAGAGAGTTCTGTGCTGCCTGTTAACTGAATATTTTGACTAAGTTTCCACTGAGAGAAGATCTCTTTGCATTGCGATCTAACTGGATTACGCAAGACCGTGTCACCTGATAAAGGAGAAGACGGGGACCTAGTGCAGCACACAGAGGTTTGGCTTACTTGAGAGGATGTGCTAGTTGCGATGTGTTCAGGACTGCGGCTTGATATGGCACACTGGTCTTCCTCCTCCTCATCTGGATCTCTGATAGCAGTGTGTCTCATAAGGAGACATTTTCTTCTTTCCCTCCAGCCGACCGCAGAGCGCTCCGGTGACAGACAACTGTAGTCAAAAGACTTACTGCGGGTCTCGGCCATTAGGACACTTAGTTGCGGGTCATGAGGCGCCTGCTCAGATGCTGACCGCCTCATCTCTCTGTGCTGATGCACCCCAGGCACTGTTAGCATGTGGGGAGCTCTAGACCTCCTCAGTGGTGATGATGTTGCTATCTCCATGTCCGGCCTGTTCGACTCTTCAAAGGATGTGGAACGACTGGATGCATAGGAGGCACTACTGTCCTGACTAGGGCTACGGGGCAGAGATATTGAGTCAAAACTGGATTCCCCTGAGGACTGGGCAGCCTCAGCTAGACGTAAGCGCTTCTTCTTTGGAGGCAGTTTTTCAATAGGGAGCTGAGCCAGAGAGGGGCTCCTCTGAGGCCACTGGAATTCATCAGGTTTCTCTGAATGTTTTGCTGTGGAGGTTGGATCTACTGAGATCTCCGTGGTCATGTTGGAGTCCTCCGTCACCAGTATTTCTGGAACTTGCACATTGTGTTGACGGACCAGCTTCCGAGTTGCTAGTTTCGTCGGCTGCTGTTGAGGCTGTTTCTGAGGCACTAGTTGATGTTCGTCATGAGGTGGAGAGTTCTTCGTCGCCTCGGAGCCTTGACTCTCGTTGCACAAAGATTCCTGTTTTTCAAATGAACTAGTATGTTGAATAACTGAACAGGTTTGCAGTGTAGGTCTTCTGGTGCCCTCATAAGGTACGCTGCTTTCATCTTTACACTGTCCTGACAAGAGGGCAGGAGAGGGTAACGAAGGAGAAGAGGGGTCATCAAATTCAAAACTCTCCTCTTTCCTCCTCTTGCGTACCGCTGAAGCTCCCGTTTTGACAGCATGGTTAATTAGCTGTGAGAACTCCATTTGACTAATCACCACCTCGTTTCTGGGATGATGCGCTAAGCACAGGCTTTGCTTGTGTTTCTTATAACCTTCCCAATCCTTGCATCCAGTGCCACAGGCCTCACACTCGTATGGCTGGGGTTGACTCTGCTTGTGGTCAGGCACAGTGGTTACGCTGTCGGGGTAAAATGGATGGGAACCATCCTGTTCCTCTTTTGTGAGTTCGGCACCGAGCGGGATTTCAATAGCTGGCTGCCGTCTTAGCATCCCATAACGACGGGACGCTGCTATTTCCGAAGGCGGCCGTTCATCGAAGGACTGACTTAGGCGGAATTTGCTGGGGCCACCACCGGAGGTATCAAATGAACTAGCTGCAGATGGCATTGAGTGACTTCTCACCAGAGGGGCGGTGGATGTTTGGCCAGCTGGCTGCTCCACATTTAGGGACTGATGATGAAATTTTTCACATGGAACTCCCATGGTGATGGAGCCACTGTTTTTATAGCTCAGATCTCCAGTTTTAGGGCTATGAATTAGCGGTTCCTTCGTAGAGGAACCCTTTTGAGACTCTGAACTATTCTTTCTGGAGAGCGAGAACCTCCTTGGTTTTACACTGTCAATTTTACTCGTGTCCACCACTGCCTCATTGATGGTGATGAGTTTGGTAATATGGTCAATGACCTGCTTCTTGGGCACTGTGAATGGGATGCTTTTGTCCTTCTGACCAGAGGGCTGCTGGTTTTGATGACGGGACATCCTCTGTAGGTGTCCGAGACGTCCATATTTGCCGAGGATGATCTCTGCATAGCTTTTGGCACTTGTGTTCGGGGGACTGTCCTGTGATTGCTCAGTACTTTCAGAGCGAGAGAAATAGCCGGATTCTGTACTGCCTTTGCTGCCTAATATTAGAGATGAGGACTTTTCATCTGATGAATCTTGGGGAGCATGTTTCCCTCTACTTAGACGCAAGGCCAATCTCTTTTTCACCGCATAGGAGTCATCGTTCCCTGCAGTGTTACCTTTGGCCTTGTCTGTTTCATGACTCTTGATTGAGGCTACACTGCTTTGTCTTTCTGCGTGGGAAGAGGCTGATGACAGCTGTCGGGTTTCGTCTTCCGACTCAGTGACTTGCTCCTCTAGAGATCTTGGCTCCCCAAGCGCCAGACCTGCTTTCACCCTGTGCGTATGCGATTTGCGGTGTTTGTACAGGTTACTCTTGGTCTTAAAAGAGAAGCCACATGGGGCGCAGGGGTAGGGTCTTTCACCTGTGTGGGAGCGAATATGTTTCTGTAGGACGCTAGGTTTTGCACATGCACGGCCACAGTAAGTGCAGACATATTTTCCTGGTCTCTGAGGCTTACGCTCTCGTTTCTGTTTTGGGGTGCCCTCTTGGGTTTCTGGTTTGGATTGGGTCGGGCTACCTGCCGAGGACGGCGGGACTCCTGGTGACAAACTAGAAACCGTGGTTGCTTTCGATGGTTCATGTTTGTCTTCCAGCACCGTATCTGAGTCAATGCTCTGCCGCTGATGCCTGAGACGCTTTCGTTCAGGATGCTGTCTTCTGGACTGTTTGGGTTGCTGTAGCGCGCCATGGGGCTTTGGGGAGCCGGTTTGCTGTTGCTGACGGGGCTGGGAGGGAGACTTGGGCTGCAGGTCTCGGTGAGGAGACTCCGGTTGACAGTGTTCTTGATCTCCGGACTGCTCCCCAGTCGTCAGGCGACTATGCAAGGTCTCCATAAAATGGAAAGACAGCCTCAGGTAGACACGTGGGGTGCGTCTGCCTGTGCCAGGCTATCGAGTTTGAGCCAAATCATTAACTGGTTAATCAGTTTAATGTGGGTGAATTCTATCAAATTATATCCACTTTAGTTGACGGTGAGGCCTCATAATGTCCACTTGAGTTACTACAACTTTATTGCTTGACATCAGAATTATACCATCAAACGTAGAACAGCGGCAACAAACAACGCAGCTCTGATATGTCCTGCGCCGTGGAGGAAGTCCCCTGCCGTGCCGACCTAAAGTATCCCATCATGAAGCGGTCAGTGGAATATATGATTCTTCTCTCTTCTCAACATCAAGATCTGTGAAGACAAACAACTCGTTATATAGAACAGTGCGTACAATTCAGTTTTGAAACACAGATAACCCTCTGACCCCCCTCTTGCTAAATATAGATATTTATGTTTCATGTGTTACATAATCCACTGTATGTGTCATAACATTCAGCTTTCGCTTCCCCCCCCGGCCACTGCCGAATACGTTTAAATTAGATTGGTTTATGTAATGTCTTTTATATAAAAACACATACGTATGCAGCAAGTAGAAATGATGATTCTTTTTAACTTCTCTCCCCAAGAGAGGAAACATGTCCAACGACTGTGACAGGAACATTTCAGTAACAGCATCATTTGAAACTGTCACGGTCTTCAGTGACTCCTAATCAACCGCGTGTTACTTATTTCAAAGCGACAGACCACAATGTCTTTCTGTTGGACAGAACCACATTACATATCACACCCACTCCCATAAAATGACTCACGTCTTCCTTTCTGCAAAACAGACCAAAAAAAACCAAAAAATGTCCAATGAAGAGTTTGTCATTTTCAGATGGAAATACAAGATCCTCCTGGTTGAGGAGGGAGTTACATCACTCCCAGCAGTAAATGAAAATTACTTCAGTGATACCTCCTTATTCATATTAAAATGAGTTGTCATAAAAGCACCTTTTTCTTCTTACATCCTAATGAAATTTCTTCACTTCAAGTTTTCTATGCATAATTAATTACTCCTAACTGAGGGACTGTGGCAACACAGTGTAACATGCTCTAATTAATGCTGCATATTTGACGTGTTGTGTCATCCAATGTCACACCATGCTTCCTTCAAAAAAGATGATCATCAGACAGCGCTGCAGTGCAATACCACAGCATTAGAGCACATGTGAGTGGCTCTACCTGCGTCCTTATTTTATAGCATGTGGATCATTTTTTTACTGATTAATTGTGATTTTAGATGCTTAAGAAGGACAAGCCAAAAGTAGGCGAGAGATGGCTGTTAGCTGTGAGCGCATAGACAAGGTGACTCGATAGAGATACTGAAGAAAACTCCCAGTGTTTTTTGTTTTTTTTTGTGCCAGCATACTGAAACAGTAAACAAGGCATCCCACGCACTGACCAGCTGGTTTCTACACCCACGTTCTGGTGGAAGACGGCAAAGATGCTGGATTATATCCAAATTACTGATAACAGGTTGATAACCATCTTTGCTTTAACTTGTGCGAACATTATACTGTATATGCCAGTGTTGGATGAATGTTAAACCTATTAAAAAAAAAAGCAGGCATAACATAGAAGATACGATTTCCTTAGTTTGCAGAAGACCATTCAGATGTCACAGCCCTGAATCTCTTGCAGGGAGACTAGTAATGCTAAATGTAGGTCATACAGGTAGTGTAACTGCACTAAGAGCTTTTACAGGAGAGACTGGCTGAAAATAAGAGCTCAGACTGTGAGACGAGGGTGACAATGACTGGAGTGAAATTTCAGATGGAGCACTTGAAGTGCGGAAGTGGTGTCTAAAACCAAGCAACATTTTTAAACTCATGCGATGCATCTGCTCATTTACATGTATCACACTTGCTCCAGAGTGAACTACAGACTGTTGATTTGCACCTCTCATGGTGCAAATGAAGCTAGCGGGCAGGTTTTTTCCCCCTTCAACCCTTCTCTCTACATGGATCCTGCCCCCCCCCCCCCCACTTCTGTCCTTGGCTCTCAGCCTCTGTGATTCTCCCTGGGTGAACCGTTGCAAAGGTTTGCTAGAAAACACACATCGAGGTGTAATGTTCTCAGTGTTAAAGTCAGACTGCTGCTGCTAGGGCAAATTACTACATATTCAGTAAGAACTGAATATCAATGTCTTACTATAGAAACAATTTATCAAAAATCACTACATGTCCGCTTAAAAGTCCCATACAGTCTAAAGGTAGATGTGTAGTTTGATTATAGATCAGGTCTAGGTTCTATATTAATACTGTGAAAGTATCAAAGCCTCAGTCCACAGAGAAATGCACACAGCCTGTATTCAGAAACTGAGCCTTAAAACCAGCCGTCAGGACTTCTGGAACTTTGTGATGTCACAACGGAGCAGTCACCAAGCCCCGCCCACCTGGACCCACCATCCAAACCTTGCAGGATTTGGTTTCTCTGAGTGTTTTTACCTAAAATCTGCTATATTTTTGTTTGATTGCTCAGAAAACAGTGAGCCAATCAGAAGGGAGGCTCAGAGCCACAATGTAAAACTACACTGAGATGTTTTTTGGTTCTTAAAACCACAAGTATATCTTCTTATGGATCAACACTTCAAATAAAAACACAGGAGAAGAGAAGAATATGGGACCTTTAAAGGGGAAACTCAAATTCTACACATCCAAGTCTGTTTACAGGTGTTGAGGAGTTCCACTGCATATGTGAAAAAGTTGTATAAAGCTTTTTGTGGGTAGCATTTTAATGCTTCATTCGCTGCTACTAGCATAACATACCTGAATTGTGGATTTTTCTTTACCATCTCAGTGGTCACTTGGTGCGTAATGCTAAACGGGCAGAGCTCTCTCCTTTAGTCAGTTCCTTTTCACATATAAAAAATGACTGTGTTCCATTTAAGTCTTCCAGTAAGCCGTGCCAGTGAGTCAGAGTGCACAACAGCACGCTCATGGCAGTGGGGCACTTTAATGGAATGCAGCCATCATTAGCTTAAACGAATTATAACTTCAGCGTTACCTGCTAATGTCGGTTATGAACATTACACTACAGCCAGCCTATAAAGAGTTGGCTGGGTCTCATCAGGCATCAGGCAGTGATAGGAACAATGTGTGCAATAAATAAATATATACTGTATTTAGTGTAAACAATATAGATCTGCAAATATATGTAGGTCAGGCATACGGTTACAGTTACAATCCATAGTGTGGCTCAAGTGAAGTTAATTACAACTCCTTTATAAATGTATGAAAAGCTGCATCCATTCACACACCACACAGAAAGAGAATATTGTATAAATGGCTTTTTAAAAATCTTGTCAATTTCCTCTTCTCACACTAATGGGCACCCAGCGGTGGTTCCTATGGTAACGGCCCTAAACCATGTGGTAGCAGATGGAAGGAGAGCTGGAGGGCTAAATTTATCTTCCAGCATCCTCACCGACTACAGAGCAAGAGAGAGAGAGCGAGAGAGAGAGAGAGGGAGAGAGAGAGAGAGAGAGAGCGAGGCAGGCGAAGGTGCCTCCCCTCCTAGAAGCTATGGCTTTTTGCAGAGGGAATGGTACACATCTCAAAAGAAAAATCAATACTTTGGGAGTCTTGAATTTGTACTACACAAATACTCCTCCGTTCTTTTGGGGGGGGGGGGCAGGAAGTAAAATGCATACGTGGGGATGATAAAGAACACTGGACCAGTCTCCGTGAAAAAACCATGCTATGTTATTCTCACCACAAACACAATTTGTTTGCAGTATTCCAGAACAACAGATTTTATGTGTAAAATTAAGCACATCGCCTTGAATATAAATGATTTTCTAAAACAATGAAACAATGGAATTCAAACCGTCCGAATGTCGAGGTGAAAAGTGGGAATTTTTATGATAAAAAACGCAATGAAAAACAACATTAATCTGGACTTATTCCCCCATCATCTTGCAGACTCATCTAACCTAACCAACGCTGTGAATGTGCTCATCTGTTGTTGTGTTTCCACCGCTATGTCAGCTGAGCATTAGCAATGCTGTCAAGTCAGAGAGCGCAGCTTCATCAGCAGCCTGATAGCGGCGCTCTCTGGGGGACAGAGGAGGAGAGCCCTCTGGGAGTCAGTGCATGCACAGCCATCCCTATGTGTGTGTGTGTGTGTACACAAGTGTGTGTGTGTGTGTGTGTGTGTGTGTGTGTGTGTGTGTGTGTCTGTGTGCGCCTTGGGAGCAACTCCCCAGTCCACAGGAGGACATGCCAAGCATAGAAGGTTTGGATGCACAATACAGGGAGCTCATTCACTCCTAGTCTGAGCTGTGTGGTTTAAAACATACACAGCCCACGAACCACTCACTATGTGCACTCTCCCTCTCCTTCATTCACACACAGACACACACACACACACACACACACATGCGTGCACAAACACACACACACATAAACACCCTAACTGCAGCACATGCACTGTCTGCATATGTTTAAAACAGCTAAAATATTCAGCTCATTTCAAATGTCTCAGTGTATGATTCCACAAATGAGTCTTGTTTCTTTTCTTTTTTTTTCCATCATCCACTGGTTCATTGATGTAGCAGCCTTTTGCAATAACAAAGACATGAATGAAGAGAGAGACACCCCCCCCCACACCCCCTCCTCCCTCACATCACGTCACTAACATCACCTCACACACATAACAAAATCACCACAGATGACAAAAAGATATCGTTGCCTTTGTTTTTTCTTTTACCTGGTAGCAGGTGGTGTTGTCCTCCTGTTGTGTGAATGACTGGAAGAAGGGAGAGCGGGGACTGGCAGAGAGAGGTGAAGGGAAGGAGAGAGAGAGAGAGAGAGAGAGAAAGGATGAATCAGAGTGACAGTGAAGAGAGAGGGGTAATCGAGTCTCCGCTCTACGTGCACTGGGCTGCAAACAGGTAGCTGAGTATATTATGCGTATGAATGAGGAGGAGGGGACACTCTCTCTCCCTGTCTATCTCCACCT